TGCATAGTAAAGTAATTGTATGTTTCCATTTGCAAAACAGCCAGATAATACGACAAATCGCTAACCTTAAACACCCAGTCGTTCATAAAAGTTGAAGGCGGTATAGTACTGTAGTAATAGAGCAAGTGCAGAACCACTGAACCGGAATTGATAGCTTGAAAGCATTTAGCGCGGGGCCCTTGAAAGTGCGTGGCCCGTAGCTACTTATGTAGCTACTTGTGCTGCTGGGATCATCCGGCACTGTGATGACCCTGAAGAGTTTACAAATAAAACCCGCTCCTCCTGTCCGTCATCGCATCGATCCCCCGAAAGTAACTTTCACATTTTGTGTCATTTTCGATACTGCTACTGATACTCCTGCTATTATGGAGTAACTCATGCAGCTAGCTATGCCTGCAAAGTTTGGTCGTACATGTTGTGTATGTCGTTTATTGTTAAATTAGAATCACAGTTCCTACGATCACTGCTACATTGTTTTTGTAGCTTTATTTTGGTGATTTTGGAAACGTTTTGGTTTAGCCATGTTTGTTTGTTGTAGTACAGAGTTAGTCGGATAATTTAATCTAAATTGCCTTATGGTTGTTATTGTTTGACTTGCATCCCACTGGGATATTTTTGCACACAGCGTTATAAATGCGGTGTTTTTTCTCTGGAAGACTTTGCTGTTTTTCCCCTGGATTTTTCTGTTGCGTGTAGTCACTTGAAGATGTTTCTTGTTCATGTTTTTGTTTTGTTGCGGTTGCACCCGAGTCAAGAGCCGCATGGCTCACGGGTTTATACCTAATACATGAAACTGAAACTGAATGATTCTAGATTTGAAGCTTTCGTGACTGCAAGGATTCATATTCTTAGTTTTTTTCGGTAAAGTCACGTAGGTAAAAAAATAAAATTTATTAAAGTAAAATTACAATAAAGTTAAAATAAAATTCAAAATAAAAATATTTTTATTTTACTTTTATTAATTTAATTTTTTTACCTACCGAAAAAACCTAAGAATATAAAAATTGAATGATTCGCCCACCACGCGGCTGTGTTTCTGTGACATTTAAAGTCCACATCGTGGAGCGGTGCCCTCGAGTGGACGGAACCTGCCATCGCAGCTCATTTAATTGACGAACATGTGTTTGCACGATTCATTATGATGAATGCATCATGACATTATACTGGTAGGAACCTCCTGGTTACACCAGCCCACAGGGGATTATTGTGTCCGTCCGTCCGTTGTGCATCCAAAAATGGGAGGGGTAGGGCTGGGTGGAGAGGGGAGCGTGGGGAGGGGCTGGGTGGGGAGGGTGGGGAGGGGCTGGGTTGGGAGGGGCTGGGTGGGGAGGGTGGGGGGTGGGAGGAGTGGGGCTGGGTGGGGAGGGGCTGGTCACCCCGTGGTGCTCTTTTAAAACTCAACGTTTAACCTACTCACGCCGGCTTGTGCCCGCCCTCACAGTCGGCCATGTTTGCAGAATACACCACGCCGCCGTAGACCCTGGCCATTGACCGAGCAACCCGACGTTCCTACCAGCTCCCTCCGCAGGAATGTGTTTAATTGTACAATGCTAATACGGGAAGTGATGCCAATGACACCGTTTTAAAAGCGATATGCGAATAATTAACCGCAGGGGGAATGACCGCAACGCTAAACGCAAAAAAAAACACTTCTAAAGAAATTAGTTTTCAACCTAGATGATTTAAAAGTGAGTGCATAGCTCCCATGTGGCTTCCTTCTATCGGAAAGGAAGGTGCGTTCCAGACGGCCGCAGAAGCGCGATTGAGTGCAGCGGCGTGACCGCCGTCGTTGTTCGAGGGCCGCGATCAAAAGCCGACCGGAGTGTCACGTGACGATGGCTCTTCTCACTGCCCGTCGACGACATCAGCGAAGATCATTGTGGTAGGAACCTCGTGGCTACACCAGCCCACAGAAATATTGTGCCGCATCACAAACGGCATTTTCACGATGTATTTATATCAGTAATATTATCGTTATCGACGATGTGTGGGGGTGTCCGCACCAAGGTTCTCCTCTTGCCTGTCCAAGGTATGTGGACAAACATTGGCACCACGAGGGGGGGCCCTCCAGTGGCCCGCTGGGCCTTGCGATGCCGTGGAGTATTCTGACCTCGGGGGGTGGGGGGGGGGGGGGTCAGAATGCAGCGTCACGCGCCCGACTCTGGTGACACCGGGTGGGGGGGGGGGGGCCCATCGAAAAGTCGTCCATCGGGTCTGGCACGGCCCGTGCGGCACGCACCTCACGCGTTTCCTGCCCACCCCCACCACCTCCCATCACCCCCCCCCCCCATCACCCCCCCCCCTCGGCTCAGGGTAGAGGTGCCCGCGGGGCTGGGTTGGCCCCCCCCCTCCCAGAGCCGCTAATCCCCACGAGACAGCGACGGCCTTTCATCGCAGAGGCAGCGGGTCCCGATAATTACTCATCCCACACCGCCGACACACGATACATACACACACACACAATACCCACCGTACACATGCATACGACAGACGACTACATCATCATCACACACACACCGGTGTAACTAACCATCGACCGCATCAGATCATCGCCGACAGGCTGATGCTCGCATCCCCTTCATAAATGGAAAATGAAAGGCACAAGCCACAGTGGTGCGATTGTGGCCAGGCAAAGCCACACTATGGACCTACTTGGCAAACCCACAGGTACAGATAAAGACTCTTCGAGATACACAGAGATTCATAGAGGCTCATAGAGACCCACAGAGATACATGAAAGGCACAAGCCACAGTGGTGCGATTGTGGCCATGCAAGCCAAACCATGGACCTACTTGGCAAACCCACAGAGACTCTCTAGAAATGCATCGAGACCCATGCCACTCACAGTAAACCCACGGTAAACCTACAGTAAACCCACAGCAAAACTGCACGAATTCTCTCTCGCTCACTCTGCTGAAGCCCTCTCCTCCCGACATGGCCAGCAATAGACCTCGAGATTGGCATTCAGCTCATGAAGTTGCTGCTGCTGCCTTTATATATCATGCGCAATAATATAAACTACAACAACAACCGCCATTCGCCACTAAGTGGCGGTGACGTCACCACGACGCTTGTGCCAGGCCAAGTGCACCTTGAGGCCACGTGAAGTGTCGAACGCCCGCTGGCAGGAGGTCAAGGGGCAGACCCAGCAGGTGCCACGGGTCGACTGACCGAGATGACTGGCTGATGCACCACCTGTGCCCCCTACTGTACCAACTTGCTGTGCTTTAGACACCCGGCGCTCCGCTCGTTGTTGTGAGCGTCGCTCCTCCGCCCTTCGTTGTTGTTGGAGGGCGACTGCCTCCAACTGCCCAGTAGCGTCCTTCACGAGCCTTCTCCACAGAGGCCGATCTTGACACCGCTGGTACCAGTCATCGGCAAGTCCACACACACACACACACTCAGACACTACTAACACGTGACATGTGACATGTACGATAGGTGCGTTTGACGTCTCCTACTGTTCATTGCCACTTAACGTGCTGGGTTTCGGATTGACGCGATCGCCGTCGTCTTTGACGATCGTGTCAATCTCTCGCGTCTCATCCTCGTGGACCTGCAAAGACGACGACCCGTGACAGGACGCCGTCATCGGCCTCGAAACGACGGACTTGGACGCCTGGTCGAGACTAACGAAGGAGCGGCGGTCAAAGGAGGGAAACGCTGCTCCCCCCCAGCCACTCCGGGGGGGGGGGGGGACCTCTGCAGGGGCCGAGATGGAGCGACGGGACTCGGCCGCGTGCGCACTGGGGCCGCGAGGCCATGGTACAGCAGTGGATAGAGCGCGGCTGATGACGAAGGCTGTCACAGCACAGAGGTGCTCAGAGGCCCCCACCACCCCCACCACCACCACCCTCACCATCACCACCACCATCACCCCTCACCACCACCCCCAACACCACCATCACCCCCACCACCCTCCCCACCACCACCACCCCCCCCCACCACCACTTCGTCGACCCGCATTGACCAACGTGGTGAAGTATGGCCAAACAACCCCCCCACGTGACCGACAGCGGTGTGGGAATGTGTTCATGCAGCAGTGGATTGACAAAAGAGGCTGCGAAACGTTGTTGTTGTTGTGCGTGTTGTTGTGCGTGTGTGTTGTGTGTGTGTGTGTTGTAGTGTGTGTGTTGCTGTGTGTGTGTGTTGTTGTTGTAGTGTGTGTGTTGTTGTGTGTGTGTGTTGTAGTGTGTGTGTTGTTATGTGTGTTGTTGCGTGTGTTGTAGTGTGTGTGTTGTTGTGTGTGTTGTAGTGTGGCCTGGCACAAGCGTCGTCGTGGTGACATCACCGCCACTTAGTGGCGAATGGCGGTTGTTGTTGTAGTGTGTGTTGTTGTTGTTGTTATGTGTGTGTTGTTGTTGTTGCTGCTGGCTGTCGCATCTGCACGCGGGGTCTGCTGCCGCACCGTCCTCTGCGGTGTCCCTGCCGCCGCCGCAGGAGCCGCGGCGCTAATGAGTTCTGGCAGTCATCGCTTCATTAGCATCTTAGCCAATTACAGCCGGGGCTGTCCCGCTCGACCTCCTGTCAGCAGAGTCGTCACCCCCCCCCCCCCCACGTGTCAATCCATCCTGGCGCTGATGTCATCTCCATTCGGGTCTGGTGGGAGCTGCCGGAGTGACGCGGTGCTACAACACGTGGGGGTCTCGCAGGCGAGAAAGAATTGGGGGGGGGGGGGGGCTTAAAAGACTTGCATACCACTGGGATTTCTGCACACAGTGTTGGTGTACGGTGCTTTTTCTACAATATTTGCTGTCTTTTCTTGGATGTTCTGTTTGCACATAGTCACTTTAAGATGTTTTCTTGTTCATGTTTTTGTTTTTTTGTTTGTTGCGGTTGCACCCGATTCAAGAGCAGAATGGCTCACAGGGCTATACCTAATAAATGAAACTTGAAACTTGAAATCGATTCGAGCCCCATTCTCAGGCGTCTTTCTGCCAGCGGAGTCTGAATGTTTTCTCTCTCTCCTCCCTTTCTCTCTCCTCTCTCTCTCTCTGCCTTGCTCCGGCAGTACATATACTAAAATTGGAACGATACAGAGAAGATTAACACGGCCCCTGCGAAAGGATGACACGCAAATTCTCTCCCTCTCTCTCTTTTTTACGATCAGTGGAAACAACAAGATGCTCGGTGTAGTCGGTACTTTGCTTCGTTCATCATTTCGTTAAAAAAAATTAATTTACATTTTAAAACGCTGCTTTATGTAAAACCCCCACCTCTCGCTCACTCTCTCGCTCACTCTCTCGGTCACTCTCTCGCTCACTCTCTCGCTCTCTCTCGTCCTCCCTCTCTCTCTCTGTCACTCGCTGCTCTGCGTGGTCGCTCCTGCCCGAGCTAAAAGCCGGGCCGATATCATTCGCGCCGCGGTTGCGTGACGCTTGCGATCTCCCTCGCCTGGCATGCAGGCAGGTGGTCTGGGGGTTCGATCACAACCCTGACGCCTGCTGCTGGATATTTGGCGTTTGCGTGTCTCTCTCTTTTCTCTCCGTGTGTCTCCCCGTGGTCGCGTGGATTTTTCTCCGAGTCCTCCGGGGTTTCCCCTCCACACTCAGAAACACGCGTTGAGAGTGTTATGGGTGCCCCTCTAAATTGGCTCACGATAGGCCACTTTGTTGAGCTATCATTTGTGAACAGATCGATATACAGCTCAGTGGGCCTTACCTGCTCAAATTAAAAACAATGATTACCAATCTATATAATTACACTACCCCCCCTCCTTGCCTCGAATCACTGTACCAGATTGAATTGAATTAAATGATGACGTCCCCCTGAGGCTGCTCTATTTAAGACCTGAAGCAACAGGAGAGCTTCACCATTCTTGTCCGATGAAGCTGATTGTAATTATCAGCGAAACGTCGAACTACTCAAATAAAAAAATGCTGTTGATTCTCTCTTCAACACACCGGTGGGCTAAAGAAGTGAATTATTTTGTCTTTTGAAAACGTGACACATTTTTTAAATCCTTTATATTAAGTTCGCTTGCTTGCTTGCGTGCTTGCTTGCTTAGGACCGTGCAAATCTTTCGGTCGTTTTTTAACCCACTTCCCGTGATCCAATCGAGCTGACATTTTCCACACAGACTCGTTGTGCCAGACAATTATTGTTCGTGAAAAAAAATTCCCAAAATTTTACACTTTTTAGGCAAAAAAAAATTATTTTACATATATTCAAATAGAACTCATTCTTGGCTTTGGCTGAACATCACAGTATAAGAGCCCAGAGCGTAACCCCTCCACAGGCCGTGGCGGAGTAGCGCAGTTGGTAGCGCCCTCGCTTCCCATGCCAAAGGTTGCGGGATCGATCCCCGCGTCCTCCACAGGCGAATATATTTTTAAATCCTTTATATTAAGTTCGCTTGCTTGCTTAGGACCGTGCAAATCTTTCGCTCGTTTTTTAACCCACTTCCCGTGATCTAATCGAGCTGACATTTTCCACACAGACTCGTTGTGTGTGACAATTAATTTTTGTGAAAAAAAGAAAATGCCAATTTTTACACTGTTTAGGGAAAACAAATTAAATATTTAATTACCAATTGCTTAATGGTGGCAGACAATCATCTGACCCATAGGTGGCAGCCATCTCAAGCCAGAGGACGAGAGGACTCTAGCCGGGTTTACTTGTTACTGTTTGGCCGTGTCGGGTGGTGGAGGGTTACGACACATTTATAAATAACGCGATCTGACCCAAAAACCTATATTATGAATAATATTGGTCGCGAAAGCCTGCTACGTGTTAAATAAAAACAATAGTTTATAGTTTGTTGTGGGCCAAACATCTCAATGCAGGACCCTCCTGAAAGCGAGTCTTTGGAGTCAGTGAGGGGTTAACTGGGTAAACGAGTCATCATCATCATTATTATTATGTGCGGTTGTGGAGGCTCCTTCATCAAGCAGTGGATTGACAACGGACTGTGGATTACTCAGAAATGTATTCAGAGAACGTTACGTGATACTCTATGAGGTCACAGCACGCGTGACATCGCGGCTGGTACAGCGAGCTTGTCCTGCGATCTCGACTGTTGTTATCGGGGTTTGTTCATATCTGGATGCTGTATACTAAAAAAAGACAACGATCCCTCGTACTGCCTTACCAGACTGTTAGGGGCAAGTGCCGTCGGAAAGACGCTGACGCTGTCTTTCCGACAGACGCTGTCTTTCCGACAGACGCTGTCTTTCCGACAGACGCTGTCTTTCTGACAGACGCTGTCTTTCCGACAGACGCTGTCTTTCCGACAGACGCTGTCTTTCCGACAGACGCTGTCTTTCCGACAGACCTGTTCTTTGTCTTTCCGACAGACCTGTTCTTCACCTGAGGACGGCTGCTTGCGTTGTGGCCGAAACGTCATTATTTCCCTTCTACGTGCCTTTACCGAAAGAACCAAGAAGATGAATCCCTACAGTCACGAAAGCTTTAAATCGAAATTTAACGAAATAGATTTATTTAAGACGAAGGTACTTTGTAAGCCCACTGGCTATCAACAAAGATTCGTTCATGAAGCCATCCCTATATACAGACACGATTTCAACCGAGAGGATGGGTACAAACTCAGCAATCATTGGAAAGACGTCATCAACCAGTTTAAGTCATCACTGGCTGTGATGTTCCCATCCTGCCACCTTCCGATGTTATTTTTTTATTCCCCCCCCCCCCCCCCCCCTGTGGCTTCAGCTCTGATTTCACATTAACAGGTTGAATTTCTCGCGCCAACTACACCCATTTTAAACCTTTAAAACCGTCTGCAGTCATACTCTTAGGTTCGTTCGGTGAAATCACGTGGGTACAAAATAAAATAAATTAAATAAATTAAATCACGACGTTTCGGAGGCAACACAAGCTTCCGTCTTCAGGTGGAACCTTCACAGCAAAATTACTGTATCAAGATGTCGTGATTTAATTGATTTAATTGATTTAATTTATTTTAATTTTTTACCCACGTGACTTCACCGAGAATACCAAAGTGTATGAATCGTTGCAGTCACGAAAACTTCAAATATAAAAGTCTGCAGTCAGCAACTTTCCCCTCTTTTTTTCTCCCTTCTGATGACGATCGATTGTGCTGTCATCGAAACGTCGTAGTTTTTTGTTTATTTGTATTATTTTTAACCTATCTTCGTGACTTTACCGAAAGACCCAAATAATATGAATTCCCAGGACTACATTTAGAGGGCCGCGCATATTTAACGGTCTAGAACTCGATGGAATTAAAAGTTACTCAACTCGCGCACAGAATTGAAATTATATTCAAATAAATGAAGTTCTCTCTCGCTCTCTCCTACTTTTCGAAGCAAAGAAAAAAAAAACGAATCCAGCGGTTCAACAGATTTGGAGAGATTCATTAAAATTGAGCCAACAAAAATCATAATAATATACAGCGGTATTGCCCCGTTCGCGGTCTAAAGACGTGTACGATTTAATCGCTCAAAGCGCACCGCGTGCATTCTCGTATCTCTTCGTACACAAACACTCGCACGCGATTTCCATGCTCACTTTCGCGAATGAGCGGCGGTGTCGTTTTTTTTTGGAAAAGTGGTTTTTGGGTTGTTCATATTTTTTTCTCATCATCCTCCTCCACCTCCCCCCCCCTTTCCTGAAAGGCGCTAATTTTCTTGATGTCGGGCCGCAGGATTGGAGCTGTTGTTGTTGTGTTGATGGGGCCGGTTGCCGTGGCGACGCAGCGGGCTCGTGGGGGCGAGACCGCGTGGGGCGTGAAGGGGCTTCAGTGGGACAGACAAAACCACCAGCATCACCGTCACCGACAAACATCGTCATCATCATCACCATCATCAACATCCATAACAAAACCACCAACATCACCGTCACCGCCAAACATCATCATCACCATCAACATCCATACCAACATCAACAACATCACCGTCACCGCCAAACATCATCAACATCAATACCAGCATCAACAACATCACCATCAACATCACCGTCACCACCAAACATCATCACCATCATAAACATCCATACCAACATCAACAACATCACCATCACCGCCAAACATCACCATCAACATCCATACAAACATTCACAACATCACCATCAACATCACCGTCACCGCCAAACATCATCATCACCATCAACATCCATAACAAAACCACCAACATCACCGTCACCGCCAAACATCATCAACATCCATAACAAAACCACCAACATCACCGTCACCGCCAAACATTATCATCAACATCAACATCCATAACAAAACCGTCAACATCACCGTCACCGCCAAACATCATCATCATCATCAACATCAATACCAACATCAACAACATCACCGTCAACATCACCGTCACCGCCAAACATCGTCATCATCACCATCAACATCCATACCAACATCAACAACATCACCATCACCGCCAAACATCATCATCAACATCCATACTAACATCAACAACATCACCATCAGCGCCAAACATCATCAACATACATACCAACATCAACAACATCAATGCCAACATCACCATCACCGCCAAACATCATCATCAACATCAATACCAACATCAAGAACATCATCATCACCGCCAACATCATCACCACCACCAACATCACCATCAATACCAACATCAACAATATCACCATCAATACCAACAACAACATCAACCACATCATCACCATGGTTAACAACATCAACATCACCATAAAAAAAATCATGACCATCTTCAACAACATCATCATCATGGCTTGGCTTCGCGAACGAAGATCTAGGAAGGACATCCACGTCTTCTGCAGGCACGCTGGTGGCTGAAGAGGCCTATGCGGGACAAGCAGGTCCTGCCACAACAGCTGCAAGTATAGGTCTCATCTGGGATGGGTGCTGAGGGATCATGGTTCTTCCTCCTTCTCCTTTTGTCCTCCATACGGGCCCTGCGGGTATCTTCGAAGAAGGAGGTGGCCTGGTGGACTGTGTGCCGCCAGGAGTTGCGATCAGCTGCTTGTGTTGCCCACTGACGGTGATCGATGCAGCAAGCAGTGAGGGACTTCTTCAGGGAGTCTTTGTATCGCTTTCGTGGTGCCCCTATGTCGCGATGGCCAGAGGACAGTTCCCCATACAGCACAATCTTAGGCAAGCGGTGGTTCTCCATCCTGGCGATGTGCCCTG